AACCCCGGAGTGGGGCCGCGCTCCTCTTCCCCCCGCAGCGCCCAGAACCCAGCACAGCGCTCCCGCCTGCCCCGTCCCCTCCTGCTTTTCACAGCTGCTTTTTCCCTTCTGGGTGAAAGGAGCCGTCTGAAGGGGCACCCGTGGCTGTGGAGAGGAGAGGAACACTGTGCTGCAGGAGGAGGCTTCTGCAGGGCTTGCACCCTCTTTTGCACAAGCATTTTCAGGTGGAGGATCCTCCCTGAAGGACAGGGCAGAGGGACAGAGGTCACAAACCCCTCGGAAAGAAGTTCACCGTTTCTGTTAAAGCATGAGCTGAAGTAAACAATGGAGCTCATGCACTCAAGACAGCACGTAACTCACATCCCAACCTGCTTGTAACGCAGAGGAGCAATTATCTTCTAACTGCTGTGAGGTTTCCAAGTTTTTCCTCTGGGCCATCTTACATCCACACTATTAGATACTGAAATCCAGAAAATTTAGAAATACAGAAAAAATGTTACCAAACCCCAGTGTTTTGGCATATCTCTGCCAACTGCCTACCCAGGCAGGCTATTGCAATACGAACGGTCCTCTTACAAAGCTGAAAAGTGGACATTTACAGCAGACTTCTTGCTTAGAGTGGAAGCTTCTCAGCAGAAAACTGTTCCTGATTAACAATTTTTGTATTTGCTTAAGGAAATGTCATTGACTGAAAGTTAAAAAAGCCAAAAATTATGACTGGAAGAAAATGAACCTGTCTTGTCCTTAGCGCTGTATTTCAGCATCACACGTGTCCTGGAATACCCTCCCCCTAAAAATTTTCAGATGTGTGGAGCCATTTATAATGGATTTAAAATTTTTGTTGTAAAGTTTGCTGACAAAAGTAGCACATTTGCTTTTCTCAGACACCTCTTGTAGATGCTCTGATATCCCCAGATCCCTCTCACCTCCCACAGATCCATGGTCCACAGGCTGGGGAAGACGACTCTGATTCTAACCTCATGGAAAAAAGGGCAAGTGGAATGACTGTGAACTACTTTTTAGAATAAATACTTAACATTTTGGAAAGAAGTGGCCTTTAGTTGTTTCTCTCTTGTCTGTGCTCCCATCTCACACCTACTTTGGTTACTTTCTGACACTCAAACACACTCAAATTTATTTATTTAAAGACCCAATTATCAAAATAGTGATCTCTGAAATAAAACCAGCTGGAAATATAAATAACTATATCCACAGAACCTATGTAGTAACACTTCTCCATCCCTACACCCACTCTCTTCTACCCAACCATGGATCTTTTCCTTCCCCTTAGTCGTACTTCATCCAGCTTCTTGATTACAGGGCCAGATTTCTTTGATGTAGCTGCATAGCTCTTTAGCAGAGCTTGAAATAAAGTTTCAGTATCTGGATGAGTGCTAAGGAAGGCTTTCTCCAACACGTACAAATCAACTCCTTTATCCTCTGGAAGTCCTGAAATAAAACTGAGTCCAAAGTCTATCAGCACCAAGTCCAGCTTCTCCACGGGTGGCCGCAGGAGTATATTGGAAGTTGTAAGATCCCCATGTATAAGATCTTCATCGTGCATTCTTGCTAACACCTCACCCATCTTCTCTGCTAAGGTAAGGAGACTACTGGTATCATTCTCACTCTGCTGTACAGAATTAATATGATCTTGAACAGTAATCGAGCCTACAATATCTTCAAGATATATGGAGTTGGTGACATAATCCACGAAGTAGACCACTGGGGCTGAAATCCCTATTTGAAAGAACAAATTAAAGGCTAGCAGTTAATTTAGGGGATTTTCCAACTTTAACAAAACACAACCAACACAAGCCTTAAGCAGAAGTGCCACTTGAAGTCACCCCCCAGCTTTTTTCCCCCCCCCAGCCACTGATAACCCCCAATTAGGAATGCCCATCAGTCCTTAAAGCTAGTTGGCAGCTCGAGCTGGCAACAGGATCAGTCCCTCCTGGAGTGAGATTCCCTGGCGCAACACGCACAGGGGCTTTCTGGCTGTGCGTACTGGGGGGGCACTCTGACAAGGTGGTGGTGGGGGGCTGTACTCCGACAAGGAACCCGCTGCATCCTTCAGGATGAGGCAGGAAGGCCGTCAACTGTCTGCTACTTGCTCTGAGGGCCGCGCAGAGCCGGTGAGCGCGGAGGCACCGGCGCCCAGGGGTGCCTG